ACACATTTCTGTTTGCACCTCATCGTCCTCCTTCCTCCATCTGGTTTCTGTTGACCTCCTGTTTTTCTTTCCCTCTCCCATAGCTCTGCTAGTGTAGCAGGTGGCTAACCTTGATAACAGTGGTGTGTTTTTGCAGCAGTTTGGTCTGAAATATTTGAAATAATTTCTGTCTTTTTCCTCCTCACTCACTTTATTTTTCACTTCAGTTTTATGAATTGGCCTCTGTCGGCTGTAACAACATGGAAGTAGCAAGTGACAACAGCTGTTTTATGTTTCTTTAGGAGAGCATGAGGAGACGCCTCTGCTCTCTAATGAACTCCACTGTATCCAGTGACTAAGACTGAAGAGTTAATAAAGTTCAGTTTCTGGGAAAGACCAGCTGCAGTCTGGCTCAGATGACCCCTGTGTGAAGTGGCTGTTAATAGTTAGAAAGGGTGAACTTTTCCTGATCAGTTTTCATACTGACTAATTGATTTGAGTGCTGCTGCGTGTTTCACTGTGTGTGCTTTGTGGGTGTTACCTTCTTCTTGTCTCTCATGGAGCCCTTCCCTCTCACCATGATCTTACATCCCGTCTCAGCCTCCAGCTGCTTTGCCGTCAGACCTCGAGGACCCAGAATTCTCCCCACAAAGTTAAACTGACACACAGAAAGGAAGGGAGTTACTATGACGACCGGCCGATCAATCAGCCAGAACACCACCTACACAAACTTGATTGGCTTGTATTGTGACTGGCTTGTTACACTCTTGTGTATGTGGTGTGCTGAGGTTCAGATCAGCTGATCCCAGCTGATCTTTGTGCAGCCAATCACTTCCACTCCTATGTGACCAAATGAAAACCTGATGATCCTGCCTGTGTTTGTGATAGTGATGGCAAGTTCGGGTCATTTTGCTGATTCGGTTCTTTGAATCTTGTTCGGTAAAATTAACGAATCTTTTTTCAAGTCATTTTGTTCACTTTAGCAGAATGTAATTAAAATGTTACTTGTTAATTCCCCATCTACTTACACACATATTGATCATGTTTCAAATAAGAAAGAACTGTAATGCAGCCAAGGTCATATTATAAGTAATATCGTACCTGTGTCTTGAGGCCATGCAGTCTGTTACGTCATCACCTCACCTCCAGATATTTTGGGTCAAATTCGTTTGGTCTTTTGTCACTAACATCCTAATATAAGCTAAGCTGTGCCATCTTCTGTATAGTATACAGAAAGATTTTCCCTAATGAGGTTTATTAACCAACTCTTTATTAAAACATTCAGTGTTATGGAAAAAAACATATTGACAGATATTCACTAAATTATAGTCTGTAGGAAATAAAAAGCTATTTTATAATAAAAAATAAAGGCATCAGGTAACAGTAAGAGTAAAAAAAACTGTAAAGACGGTTGAAATTTTACTAATTTCTGTATCCAACAAAGCATCATGTCACGTTACAAAAACGAATGACTCGAAAAGTGTACACTAAACTCTGCATTGCGTTGCTTGATAACGAACATTTTAGCTCAGGGTGAAAACTTTGTACACCTTTTGCGTTGTTCCTTTTTGTAACGTGACATGACCGCTTTGTCAGTAATACTGAGCTTATGCGATGTTACGCATGCGCGGTCAATACGAAATGAACGAATCACTCCCTGAGACGACCCATCTGTTCTCGAGTCATGGGAAAGATTCATTCAAAAAGAAAGAATCATTCGTGAACGACACATCACTAGTTTGTGAGTTTCTCAGACTGTACCAGCACAACTGAGACAACATCAAACCGGGTTTGTTTGACACCGTTAGCACTCTACTGCTAGCAACTTTAGCACTGTAGCTGTGGTGGTGTTTAGTAGTAGGTGTAAATTAGCCAGTGCACATCAAACTACCTTTGTTTTACTGCTGCAATGTGAATATGCCCTTCTTCCATCACTGCAGGTCAGAATAATACAAGGAGCCTTTTTATAAATAAAAACTAAACTGTCTGCCATCTTTTATTTCAATATAATTTCCCATGATTAAAAATGACCATTTTATTCAGACGTGAACTCAGTCTGGATCAGTCTCTACTAAAGACATGAATAATAGCTCACACAATTATCTGTACATTGTTTACGACTGAGGTTTATAACCTGCAGGTTCCAGCGTTTCGTCTTCAATCACTTCAATCTTGGTTGTGATGATTGTGTTGAACAAACGGCTCAAAAGGCTAACAGGTAAAACACACTGGAAGGGTCTTCTATGTGTGTCTCACGTCCGCCACATGCTTCGAATAGAATTCGATTATATCAGATGTGTCAATTCAAACTGAATCTGTGAGACGCACGTCTCCTGTAGAACCCATGTGTTTTTTTAGGCTTTATGTCTATTTTTGCGTTTAGTGAAGCGTCATCTCCACAGTCAGCTGTTTAAATTGTACAAACCCTGTTTTTTTTTCACTTTCCACTGGAATCTGTTATGACCGATCAGGCTGCTTGAGTTTCACTTTGACATTCTCCCTCTGTAAGGAGCCGGGGAATATCAATAAAATCCACTGGCTACATAAAAACATGATTTCTTCCTGATGATCTTACATGAAAGCTATTTTTGTCCAGTACAACTGTGTTGTTGGTCGGCCTGGCAAAGAGTGTCTCTTGCTGCTGTCCTGCTGACAGACAGCTGTTTTGATTACTTTAAACACTCAGAATGTGCCGCTCACATCTTGCTTCCAGTGTGTTTTACCAGTTAGAGCAGCCATTGCTTTGTACAGTGTTTACACGACTCCGCTAGCTTGTCATGCTGCACAGAACAGTCTGTTCCAGCTTTTTTTGAAAAAAAAAAAAAAAAAAGCCTTTAATTACCCAACCCCCCACCCAATGATTTACACAGTGGGGTCCCCACAGTGTGATTAATACTGGGCACAACAATACATCCACATATAATAACACACAGACACACACTCACGTCAGGAAACTCCTTCACAGGGACGTAAAGTTTCTCCTGCAATTGCACGGTCGGACCAACAGCGTCTGGCAGCTCACTGCTGCTCCTCTCTGAGCTGTTCAGAGTGTCATTGTACATGTCCTTCCTCACACGGCTGATCTCTGAAATACACGTACCACAACACATCAACACACACATGTACAGTGCTTCTACTTCCACAGACGCCACACAACAAAAACCCACTTTTCTACTGTGTGAGAGAGTTTTATTAAAACAGAACCTCCACAGTTTAAACATTCATAATACAAACAAGAATAACTGAGCCTGTCTGGAGCTGGAGGTGTCCCATCAACAGTTTTACAGACTTTTATTATAGAGGTCTATGAGGAACCCATTTATGGGGTTTTAGTTGCAGTACCCCGAGTGACCACAGGCAGCAGGGAGGCGCTGCATTACCTCTGTCATTGTTTCACAAATGATGAGACACTGCAGCCATCTCCTGATCCCCTAGAGTTATCCTGGATAACTGTTGCTATGATGGCCACACCATCTCCTGACCTTTAATTACCCAACCCCCCACCTCTGCCCTCATCTGTGCCGTCAGATTTATTTATTACCCCAGTGCATGCCGGGAGACTTAATGAAGCTGTCTGTGTAGTGATTCAGCTCAGAGGAGCCGAAATCTTCACACAGCCAGTCAGGAGCCAGGACGGTGATTTATTTGTCCTGCAGGTTGAACTGGACTCAACCACAGACCCTGATCCAGCTCTCCCAAACTCTTTGGCCTGAACTAAAACCAGGTCTCCTTGCACAACTTTGTCAACTTTGTCTGTCTGTATCATTTCAGACCTGGCCACTCCCACCAGCCCTGCAGTAGCCCCACCTTTTTCCATCTTCTCAGTCACCTGATTCCCCCACACCCACCTGTGCACCTGTTCCCTATCCCTTGTTATCTCTTCAGTTCATCTGCACCTCCACTCTGAGCTGTAGTCTCAGGCTGCATCCTTGTCTGTCTTTAGACCTTTAGCCTACCTGTCTGTCTGCTGACTTCTGCTGCTCCTGCATTACCTTTAATCCAGGTGAGTTGAACTGTTTACTGAGTCTGAGTCAGTTTGAGTCCTGTGTTCTCAGTGCTGGAATAAGTATTAAAATCCCTTATTTCTATAAAAGTAGTAATACCACAGTGTAGCATACTAGTGATGTCCAATTGACACCATGACACCTGTATCGAACCACTTCATCATCAGCATCGAGTATTGGTTCGTTCATTCAAAGGTTCGGTTTAGTGCCATCTGGTGGCGAAATAGTATGCAGCAGAACAATGTCTGAATTATGTGATGGGTGTAACTAGGGTTTGTGTGAATGATGTGAAAACGTTTGTAAAGATTGATTGGTCAGTCAGTCCAGTCTATGAACGTATGTAGTGTAGTAGGTGGGAGAAGGTGTGCTGGGGGAAACAGGATGTGCTAGGATGGTAATATGTGCGAATGTAACTAGGACAGGGTGTGAATAAATACAAGGGATGGAGAATCAATCGTTGTTATTCCTAGGTTTCTCCACTGTCTTTGGACTGATCAGCTGAAAGTGTTCCCACATTGGAGAACAGGGTCTCTTCCTAGCTGGCTCCATGGTGATCACACACCAGCAGCAATGATCATACCGACAGCAACTATGCACACACCTACTATCCAGACAAACCCACATGTTGCGCATCATCTTGGGTGGCTTTATAGTACCCCTACACCTACGCACCTGATGACGTGCGCAGCGAGATCTCATGTTGTGACACCGTATCGACGGTCTGAACTGGTCACGGGAGTCACTCAGGCCAGCCGTTTCTGCGTCGTTCGCGGGAGATCCCTCTCCAAGCTCGAATCATGTATCGAGGCCTCAGTGTCAGATGGCCATCACTATAGCATACTGTTACAAAACTTCTGTATTCAAAATGTTACTAAAGAAAAATACATAAGTATTACCATCCAAATATACTTGAAGTAGTAAAATGGGACATTTCACATTAATTATATATTATTGGATTATAATTATTACCTCTGCCAAGGGTGAGGGTTGTTTTTGCCTGTGTTTGTTTTTTTGTTAACTGCATGAGTCATAAAGTAATGAACAGACTTTGAAATGTGTTGGACAGGTAGGGTACGGCTCACAGAACAACTGATTGGTGCTGATCCATATCATAATTTGCATGCAGTAGTATTTTTAAATTCTTCCTCACTGTGAGTGCTGGGAAGGCTGCTGACTGTATGTGAGCCAAAGTGCGCCGCTGCACTGCTGAGCACTGTGAGCACATTGAGACAAATCCCTTGGTCAGCGACAGCTGTCTGTTCCTTGCCAATGGAAAGTGAGTGCTGTGACTCAGCCCACCCCGCTGTGTGAGACAGGAACTGAAGGAGCCCAGCGAGGCCACAGCCCACAACTGGGGAGAGATCAGCTCTATGCAGTGACAGCGAGAGCCTGTCCAGAACGCAGCGACAGCCTACTGTCTCTCTATGTGTGGGTAGTAAGGGGGGCACTACATGCAGCCAGATGGTGTGATTTGTGTGTGTGTCTATGAAGGACTGTAAGTACACATTGTTTTGTCAGGCTGCATGGGACATTTATTTAGATATTCCTGGCCTTTAGTAATCACTCATGCCTGCTGTTTCTCTTGATTAACTTTCAAACTAATGATGATACCAGCATCATTCCAAATGCCAACGGTAGGTTTTCATGGTCACTGATGCATCACTTTAACATTGCAGCTCGTAAAGGTGGAGCTGATGGTAACTACC